ATCTTTTGTTTTCTTTCGCTAACGGAGCTCATGAGATTTTCTACTTTAAGTTTTGTGTTGTGAAGTTTTCAAGTTTTGGATAAAGATTTGATGGATTATGGAACAAGGAGTGGCAAGAGCTTAAGTTTGGGGATTCCCATGGCACCCCCAAGATAATCTAAGGACACCTAAAAGCCAAAGCTTGGGGATGCCCCGGAAGGCACCCCCTCTTTCGTCTACTTCCATTGGTAACTTTACTTGGAGCTATATTTTTATTCACCACATGATATGTGTTTTGCTTGGAGCGTCTTGTATGATTTGAGTCTTTTCTTTTTAGTTTACCACAATAATCCTTGCTATACACACCTTTTGAGAGAGCCATACATGATTTGGAATTTGTTAGAATACTCTATGTGCTTGACTTATATCTTTTGAGTTATATAGTTTTGCTCTAGTACTTCACTTATATCTTTTAGAGCACGGTGGTGGATTTGTTTTATAGAATCTATTGATCTCTCATGCTTCACTTAGATTATTTTGAGAGTCTTAAATAGCATGGTAATTTGCTTAAATAATCTTAATATGCTAGGTATTCAAGATTAGTAAAAAAATTCTTATGAGTGTTTTGAATACTAAGAGAAGTTTGATGCTTGATGATTGTTTTGAGATATGGAGGTAATAATATCAAACTCATGCTAGTTGAGTAGTTGTAAATTTGAGAAATGTTTGTGTTGAAGTTTGCAAGTCCCGTAGCATGCACGTATGGTAAACATTATGTAACAAATTTGAAACATGAGGTGTTCTTTGATTGTCCTCCTTATGAGTGGCGGTCGGGGATGAGCGATGGTCTTTTTCTACCAATATATCCCCCTAGGAGCATGCACGTAGTGCTTAGTTTTTGATGACTTGTAGATTTTTGCAATAAGTAAGTGAGTTCTTTATGACTAATGTTGAGTCCATGGATTATACGCACTCTCACCCTTCCATCATTGCTAACCTCTTCGGTACCGTGCATTGCCCTTTCTCACATTGAGAGTTGGTGCAAACTTCGCCGGTGCATCCAAACCCCGTGATATGATACACTCTTTCACACATAAACCTCCTTATATCTTCCTCAAAACAGCCACCATACCTACCTATTATGGCATTTCCATAGCCATTTCGAGATATATTGCCATGCAACTTTCCACCATTCCGTTTATCATGACACATTCATCATTGTCATATTGCTTAGCATGATCATGTAGTTGACATAGTATTTGTGGCAAAGCCACCATTCATAATTCTTTCATACATGTCACTCTTGGTTCATTGCATATCCCGGAGGCATTCATATAGAGTCATCTTTTGTTCTAGCATCGAGTTGTAATCATTGAGTTGTAAATAAATAGAAGTGTGATGATCATCATTTTCTAGAGCATTGTCCCCCCAAGTGAGGAATTAAAAAAAAGGGGGAAGAAAGGCCATAAAAAGAAAAGAAAAGAAGGCCCAAAAAAGAGAGAAAAAGAGAGAAGGGACAATGCTACTATCCTTTGCCACACTTGGGCTTCAAAGTAGCACCATAATCTTCATGATAGAGTCTTTTGTTTTGTCACTTTCATATACTAGTGGGAATTTTTCATTATAGAACTTGGCTTGTATATTCTAACAATGGGCCTCCTCAAGTGCCCTAGGTCTTCATGAGCAAGCAAGTTGGATGCACACCCACTTAGTTTCTTCTGTTGAGCTTTCATACATTTATAGCTCTAGTGCATCCGTTGCATGGCAATTCCTACTCCTTGCATTAACATCAATCGATGGGCATCTCCATAGCCCATTGATTAGCCTCATTGATGTGAGACTTTCTCTTTTTTTTCTCCATATAACCCCCATCATCATATTCTATTCCACCCATAGTGCTATGTCCATGGCTCGCGCTCATATATTGCGTGAAAGTTTATAGGTTTGAGATTACTAAAGTATGAAACGATTGCTTGGCTTGTCATCGGGGTTGTGCATGATGAGAGCATTCTTGTGTGACGAAAATGGAGCATGACTAAACTATATGATTTTGTAGGGATGAACTTTCTTTGGCCATGTTATTTTGAGAAGACATAATTTCTTAGTTAGTATGCTTGAAGTATTATTATTTTTATGTCAATATGAACTTTTATCTTGAATCTTTCGGATCTGAATATTCATACCACAATTAAGAAGAATTACATTGAAATTATGCCAAGCAGCCCTCCACATCAAAAATTATCTTTTTTTATCATTTACCTACTCGAGGACGAGCAGGAATTAAGCTTGGGGATGCTTGATACGTCTCCAACGTATCTATAATTTTTGATTGCTCCATGCTGTATTATCTACTGTTTTGGATGTTATTGGGCGTTATTATCCACTTTTATATTATTTTTGGGACTAACCTATTAACCGGAGGCCCAGCCCAGAATTGCTGTTTTTTGCCTATTTCAGAGTTCTGTAGAAAAGGAATATCAAACGGAGTCCAAACGGAATGAAACCTTCGGAAACGTGATTTTCGGAACGAACATGATCCAGGAGACTTGGACCCTACGTCAAGAAATAAAGGAGGAAGCCATGAGGTAGGGGGCGCGCCTACCCCCCCCTCTCAAGCGCGCCCTCCACCATCGTGGGCCCCATGTTGCTCCACTGACATACTCCTTCCTCCTATATATACCTACGTACCCTCAAACGATCAGGGACGGAGCCAAAAACCTAATTCCACTGCCGCAACCTTCTGTATCCACGAGATCCCATCTTGGGGCCTGTTTCGGAGCTCAGCCGGAGGGGGCATCCATCACGGAGGGCTTCTACATCAACACCATAGCCTCTCCAATGAAGTGTGAGTAGTTTACCTCAGACCTTCGGGTCCATAGTTATTAGCTAGATGGCTTCTTCTTTCTTTTTGGATCTCAATACAACATTCTCCCCCTCTCTTGTGGAGATCTATTCGATGTAATCTTCTTTTTGCGGTGTGTTTGTTGAGACCGATGAATTGTGGGTTTATAATCAAGATTATCTATGAACAATATTTGAATCTTCTCTAAATTCTTTACCTATGATTGGTTATCTTTGCAAGTCTCTTCAAATTATCAGTTTGGTTTGGCCTACTAGATTGATTTTTCTTGCAATGGGAGAAGTGTTTAGCTTTGGGTTCAATCTTGCGGTGTCCTTTCCCAGTGATAGTAGGGGCAGTAAGGCACGTATTGTATTGTTGCTATCGAGGATAACGAGATGGGTTTTTTTATCATATTGCATGAATTTATCCTTCTACATCATGTCATCTTGCTTAAGGCGTTACTCTGTTTTCATGAACTTAATACTCTAGATGCATGCTGGATAGCGGTCGATGAGTGGAGTAATAGTAGTAGATGCAGGCAGGAGTCGGTCTACTTGTCTCGGACGTGATGCCATATACACGATCATACCTAGATATTCTTATAACTATGCTCAATTCTGTCAATTGCTCAACAGTAATTCGTTCACTCACCGTAAAAATACTTATGCTCTTGAGAGAAGCCACTAGTGAAACCTATGGCCCCGGGGTCTATCTTTATCATATTAATCTTCCAATACCTAGTTATTTCCTTTGCTTTTATTTTACTTTGCATCTTTATCATAAAGTACCAAAAATATTACTCTATCATATCTACTAGATCTCACTCTCGTAAGTAACCGTGAAAGGATCGACAACCCCTTATCGTATTGGTTGCGAGGAGTTATTTGTTTTGTGTAGGTACGAGGGACTCGCGCGAACTTCCTACTGGATTGATACCTTGGTTCTTAAAAACTGAGGAAAATACTTACGCTACTTTGCTGCATCATCCTTTCCTCTTCAAGGAAATCCAACGCAATGCTTAAGAGATAGCAATCTGTGAAGGGAGAAGGAATCAACGTCGGCACCGGTGGATCGCAAAGGGACTCGCTCCTGTTCGCCTAACCACTCGCAAGATGCAGCGTACCCAACAATTATTTGATGCATTAGCTTCACATACTATAACGTTCTACTGTCACGAACAGGGATCTTCCTAAAACAACCGCAAGATCACTGTCATCCAAAGAACAGAATAGTGAATCTCTGTAAACAAATATAACAGTGTTTAGATCACTATTTTAGTGATTTAAACACTCTTATATTTTTTTACGGAGGGAGTACTATGAAATTTGCATCACTGGGTCAAGGTCTCTCTGGACTTCTCTTTTGCCTCTGGGCACGGAGGGAGTACTATGAAATTTGCATCACTGGGTCAAGGTCTCTCTGGACTTCTCTTTTGCCTCTCCCAGAGTTATTCTTCCACTGTTCCAGCATCCTCCAGTTCAATACCTTCATCCTCCTTTCATGGACTGGCACGGGCAAGCAGCGATGTCTAGAGCAAGAGATGAAAACTTGGGTTTAGGAGGCCGTCACCGAGTCATCTATAGATTGGTTATATTCAGATTCATTTGATTTTGATTTTCTTTTGTTGCATGAGGTCAGAGTCCACAGCTAGGGAAGAGTCGTCAGATGACAATTGAAGTAGGGATCTGCCCCTTTCAATACTACTACTACTACCAAATTCACCGGTGCTACATATAAACATTGCGAAGCTTAGAACTAGATGGCCCTAAGAAACTACTCCAGCTATGCTCCAGCTGTGTCATATCAAGAAACAAAAAGGAAGAAGTGTCCCTGGCCTAGGCACCTATGGAGCACACCCATGAGAAAATAAACAAATTCAGGCAAACAAAAAAAAACGAACAGAGCACACAACCATGAGAAGATAAGCCTGAAGTACATTTATTTAGTGCACAATAACCTGGATAAACCATACTGCCATACTGGTGGCACATACAAACCATGGTGAAGGACAACTTGCATCAACACACCGATGCAAATTCAAATGTCTCGGATGTAAAAGTGCATCAAACACAGATGCCTCACGTGACTACTAGCAATTCAAATGGTCTTAGATGTGACAATACCAAGTATACGACAACTTCCAGGCTTCGGTGACAGCACACGAGCATTTGTGTGTTGCCTAAAATCCGTGAATCTTGATGCTCTCTTTCTTTGCAAGTCCAGCCTAACCAAACAGAAATTGCCACCCAAATTTAGAAGATGTATGCACAACAGTCAATATGTATGACAATATAAAATAGCATCGTAAATTACCTGAACTAGGAAAGTAGCAACATTTTTACGCTGATCACCTTGGAGTTGGATGACCTGGAAATATAGAAGATAACTCATCAGCATATATACCTTTACATTAGAGAACTTTGATTCAACAAAATAGGAGAACCTCGCTGTACCTGGCCTAGTTCTGGATCCTGGACTACAGTACCATTACAGCAGAATTCCTTTTTGAGATCCTTGAGAATCTTGTTGTAGCTGTAATCTTTCTTCAAGCCCTGAACAGTAGTCAGACTCTTTCTTCCGTTGCGCTGCTGGACACGCACATGCACATAGTTCTTTGATCCAGCACCAGCGCCGGAGTCCTCAGCATTTGCCTCAGCAAACGGATCTACAAAGAAGATGCGAAGTCAACTTCTCGGTAGAAGGTATAATAGGCAAGGCAGCCAGAGGATTCACAAATCAGTGTTAGACTGTAGGACAAACCAAAAATATACATGTTTCTGTGACATAGATATCTGTGAACACACATCTTCAGAATACAGATAAGATATGCAAGATATGCATTAGTACCACCTCTAGAGAAGGTTAGGAAAAGCTCTTGTCCAGCATGATAAATATGTATACAACAACTAACTCATAATCAACTAGATGTGGTATTCTGTTAGTTGATAGAACTAGATATTGAGAACAATCTATTAGGTAATTTAGGGTAAGAGAGAACGTAAGTAAAGACAATCTATAGGTTATTTATAGGCAAAACAAATGATCCATGTTTCTGTAATATAGTGATCTGTGCCTGTGCATCTTTATTAATGCAGACAAGCTATGTACCTGTGCCTCTAGGGAAGGTTAGCAAAAGCTCTTGTCCAGCATGATACATATATGTAGCTATACAACAACTTATAATCTAGTGATAATGGTATGCTGTTGGTTACTGAGATTAGATATTGAGAACAGTCTATAGGTTAATTCAGGGAAGAGGGAACGTAAAGAAACACAATCTACAGGTTAAGGACTCAAATTGCTATAGATTGGCAGGTGTGATTCCCTAATGAAGAGATAATGAAATGAGTGCATACCAAAAGCAGTTGGAACCTGGACGTCGAGATCAGACATGAACTTGTTGTTTGGTTTGATTGGCCCCAAACAAACGAGGCTCTATTTATTGTCTTGATGTGTGAGCTGCAAAACATCCCAAACAATTACAAACCGTCCAGCAATACGTTAATTCTGAAATTTCAACATTCATTCTGAGAAGAGTATAAGCTAGAACTGAGCCACTGATATGCAATAGTTCCTAGATAGTAGGATATTACTAGGTGCTGACAGAAGTTGCATCTGAATTTCTTCTTAAGACCTCTATTAAGTTATTATCATTATAGCTGATGAAATTTAAGAAATTCAGAGTTATAGTCACGAAATATCTAAGGCAGATATAGTCACGCAATACGGAGGGTACTCAACAGTACAACATCGAATTAAGTGCACAGGACATTCAGCATAAAAAACGAGGGACGGTGTGCAAAACGCAAGCACAAGCCCCATCCTTGGTCACTTCCAAAATCCACATAGAAAGTAGAAGACCATACAAAGTAATTTACCTCCTTATTAACTACCAAGGGAGAACCTAAAATCAGCCCACAAATTTCCTAAATCACAAACAGCATGTTCCAAAATTGATCGTTCTAGACGCATCACGAAATATCTAAACCAGCCCACAATCACATACGCCGACAACAAAAAACAAGGCACTTATCTAAACTGCTCGCACGAACAGATCGGTTCAAATCGCGCCCGCAAACCTAAGCGAATCCCCAATATCAAACGCCCGATTTCCAGAAAACCGGCCTACCAGGTGCGGAAACCAACCGATTGGGGCCAAAAATCGGCACACCAACAAATCAACCGAACAGCCCCATTGAGATCTGGTCGGCTCGGAGCGAGATTAGGAGCGGGCGATCAGACGGCGCAACCGCAACAACCGATCGCGAGACGGAGTCAACCGCTAGAAATCGAACCCCGGGGGAGCACGGAAACGTCGAATCGGCCGACGGGGGGGAGGGCGAGGAGAGGGGGGAATCACCTTGTTCGGTGGAGAGAACCGCGGACGGCGAATGGGGGAGGAGCGGGGGAGGAGGAGAAACGCAGCACGGGACGAGACGACTTGTCCTCGGCTCGGGGGAAATATCTGTCTCCTCTCCTCTCTCTCCTTCCGCCCCGGTTCCACCACCGTCGGTTATAAAGGAGCACGCCGCGTATAAATTAGGCGGACCGACGATTAAACGTGGGGAGAGGATATTCGGTCCGTCGGTTCTACGCTAAATTTAGCCTTGCCGTCGGTTCAGGCCCATTAGCGGCAGATGGAGTTGTAATCTTGTCCTGTTAGTTTTGCTGGGCCCCGATTCTTAGGCGTCAACCTTGCCTAATCACAAATTAGTCAGAGGTACCCGTTCGAGATTAGAAAAACCTTTTCCAAAGTGCACATGTTTCCCTCTAAAAAAAGTGCATATATGTAAATGCCTCTGGTGACAACACTTTTTTTAAGAAAATTGTGAACCTTTTTAAACTCATGACTTTTTAAGAAGCAATCATAAATATTTTTCAAAAATTCACGAACATTTTTCGTATTTGCGAACACTTTTCAAATTCATGAACATCTTTTTATAATCATGGATATTTTTTAAAATCCATGGACATTTTTTTGTTTCACCAAAAAATTTAAATTTGCAGAAAAGAACCCATGTAGGGTTTTTTCATGTGCTTTCCTTAGTTTTGGATTGACAAATACGACACACATCCCGTATGATAAAATAGGCCCAAACAATAGAAGCACAAAAAGCGCACGTCTGTGTCCCTTGGCTCTAGCGACCCGAAGGCGCTCCGCTAGGATTTGTCATGCCTCTCGTCGGCGGCGCCGCCGATCCGGCACGTCTCTTGTGGTTCTAGGACAATGGAGGCGCTGTTTTAGGTGTTTTTTATTAGTTTTTTTGCCATGCTCAAGAAGACGAGTTGGCGTGACTTTTTAAAGATGGATCAAGGTTATCCCCGCCTAGCCCCCGTCCTGGCGGTGCTTCTACCGTTGTCGGAGGGCGTGTGGAGGTGTGTCTCCGGCTAATTTCGTGGGATTCGGTTGGCATTTGTCTTCGGTGGATCCGTTTGGAATCGGTCTTCGTTCGTATGCGTATGTGTGCCTACATGTTGCATCATTCTGATCTACACTTCTCTTCATCGACGGTGGTCGCTATTATGGTGTGCTGGTTCTATGAGGTCTTTCCGATGGTCTACTATAATAAGGTTTGTCGGCTCCGGCGAGGGAGGGGCAATGATGACGACGTGCCTTCGGCTTGCTCCAATTCTTGTAGTCGTCATTAAGTGGTCTGCGGACCTAGATATAATTTTTACTTCTGATGTTTTTTATACTCCTTGACAATTGATGAATAAATCAGAAGTTTTCTCAAAGAAAAAAAGAAGTGTGAAAAAAGGCCTACAACACTACAGAACGATGACACATAAGAAATGTACGAGAACCGCCAAACATAAAAAAGAACAGAGATGGTGGAGAGGGGGAAACAAGACAATACAAATAAGGATGACATCACCTAGATGTGCAATAACTATTTCACATCTAGATGAGCCCTAGAAGCACTAAGTAAAAAAAATATAAATTTTTTAATTCTCATATGGATGAGAATTAACAAAGTCTCATCTAACTTCTATATCATTTAATTTTACGTGAAGATTGGTGCTGATATAACATGGGCACAAATGCACATCAGCACACATTTGTCTGCACAAGTCTAAAAGTTGACAAAGTTACTCAACGTTGATTATATTTTTAACAATCCATATTTCAATATAACAACAAACAAAACAAATTTTTTTGGTAGTATACGACCAGTGACTGGTTACGAAAATTGACCATCAATCTCCAAGTGCTTTCCTGGCAAATGCGTCATTGACTATACCAATAAAATCCACGCCATTATGGTGAAACGAGCCGTATGATGCAGACATGAAACACCACTTTATCATTTATGTAAGATGCATATCATTCTCAAAATCGAGACTTTACACAGAATTGATATTGTCAGGTTCGTCTTTTAAAGCACTTCTTATCATGATTTTTTTGCGGCGAATTCTTATCATGAATTTGTAACCATTTAAACATTTGTAAGCATTAAATATTTGTTTAATACGTATCTGTTTAAATTTGTAACCATTAAACAGATATTAAACAAATCAAAGTCAGAGCTCATATTTACACTGTCAGAATACACTTGGTAATTCTTTAAAAGAGGCTTGAATTGCCAAAACGTCTTGTATTTAAAAACAGATGGTGTATTTAGGAATGGAAGAGAAACAAAAGATCAGCAGGCTGCAGTGACGTCTCCAAGATAACAGTGGAAGAGCTGGCACTACGTATGGCATGGATGGTCGACGCACTAGTCAAGTCAATCTTCTCCCCTGAAGAGATGGAAGAGATGCTCCCTCATCAGGAAGTCAATGTTCTACGGATCGCTCACAGCCACGGGTGATGGACCCGTACAATCGTATGCAGCGCCGAGGAAAAGGAAAGGCATACAAAACCCGCCGCCGATTGAGAACCACCGCACCTTCAATACGCGCACGAGACCATCCGGAGGGCCCTTGATTGGATTCCCTGTCTGAACGGAGCCCTGCGCTGTTCTTCCCTACAGCAACCGGCAGCATCTTCTGGGACTTCGTTGCCTGCACTGCACGCCACACGTTTTTGTCTTCATTAGTTCTTGTAGAGAAGATGATATGAATTCATTTATTTGCTTAACATGCGAATGAACAAATTGAAAAACCGTGCTTCGGGAGAGGGAAAATAAGTGCAATATTACAGGTTTGAAATGGGAGAATGCTGGAGCGGGGAGAAACGCAACGCGTTTCAGCTGAGCTAGTTCCAGGGAACTTCATGGAGGAAATTGGCGTCGATAGCCAAAAGATTGGATTCATGCGAACTGAGCCTGTATCTTTGACCTTCCTTTCTGCACATGGACAATCAATTAGTCATCATCATACAGGACAGAGGCTAACAGGCCTATAAATACCATTACCTGTTGTTGGATCATATCAGCAAGTGCTTCCATACCAACATGGATTTCCACTCTTCCCCTCGGCGTTTTCCGGCTTACCTCCTACTATGCTTATGCCTTATGATAAACATAAGCAGAGGGTATGGATCTCAAAAGGTATGGCCAATTCATCACCCTGCATTTTATGGCATAGTGTTGGTTCTGTTCGATGCTAAGATATGTTTTATGTTCCTCTCCACGCATAGCTGTACATCGTTTACCTGGGAGAGAAGAAACATGATGACCCTTCTCTGGTAACATCTTCGCACCATGACATGCTCACCACCATTCTTGGAAGGTAAACCTCAGAACAAGCTTCCTATCTTTCCGAGTTTGGTTCTGATCTTCTGAATGGCAATATACATTTAGAGGACAGAGTATTTCGTTCGACAATTCCGAGAAAGGCTGCCATTTTATTTTTCCTCATCACTTGTTGATTTGTTTCAGCAAGGAAGATGCGTTGGCCTCCATCACTTACAGCTACAAGCATGGCTTCTCCGGCTTCGCAGCGATGTTAACAGATGACCAAGCACAAGATCTTGCAGGTGGGCCAAGTTTACTACAAAAATTGCTTCGCTAATTCTCTGATGGTCTAACACTATCCTGTTAAGATAACCGAATTGGAGAATTCAATCCTGATGCATGATCCTTTCTTCTGAAGAAAGAAACGTATTTGGTGATTATTATTTGCTCATTAGTTAAGCTGTTTATCTTTCTAATCATCGATATGAGTTCGAGGGTGGGCAGTCATATGGTTCTTATTCCCGTTTTGTGGAAACCTACTCCGGATCAATGTATGGTCTCTTTTCTGCAATACAACTTATTTGTAGTTGTACACTCATTTAGTATGAAGCTGCACATCTGCAGTAGCCTTACGATCCTGCCTGATTATTATTTCAATTTTTCCTATTTCTTAGGTGACTGAAAAATAACTACTTTTAAGTCACTGCTGAGAATTGTCCAATCAAACTTCAGAATTCGTGAAAGGGTAAAATAAGGGGCGAGAAAATTTTGATC